GAAGTAGAATGTTCATGAAGATGACTGAGAAATCAATATTTTGTAACAAAGGTTGGCATGGATGTTTCTGGAAATGGAATATTCAGGTAAGAATAACATTATTACCTAACAACTAGGCCAACAAATATAGTCTTCTTTTGTTTTATCCATTGACATTTTTGGGTACATGTACCAAACATTAAACTTTTAACCAACTATATCATCATGGTTGAGTACAAAAACAATGAATACTGACTGCATATACATGCAATCAGAACAAAAAGAATTGCATGTCCAATAAATTGCATAGCTTTGTACAAAAATTACATGCTTCTGAATACTTTTAGTGGATAAGTCAACTCTATATACTTTCTCTGCACCAGTTACTTACACAAGTGATGTAGGCCATTCAACCCATCCTTAGCTTTAAAGTGTCTTCTCTTTGGTATTAAAACAATAAACTGACTAAGTTTCTATTCGGTTTAGTATTAAAACAATAAAATAACCAAGTTTCTATTCTGTAGCTTGCTTTGACCCAAGCCAATTACAGTACCTTGATCCATAAATCCAACAGACTGCTTCAAAGAAATGAAAGCAGATAGTTATTGTAGCCCAAATCCCAGCCATCAAAGCTAAGCTCACACATTCCATGTTTGAAATCATACCAATTTCTGTGAATGTTCTGCACTTCATGTCAATTCTGGAAAGATAATGTGTATGCTATGAGCATGCAAACTTTGTGCAATTAATCCCCAAATTTGGTGAGCACACAAATTGCATTCAATCCAATAGCTGGGATCTTCCTTGATTTCAAATATATATATGTAGAGAGAGAAATGATAAAGTAATCCAAATTTTTACTAAATCAACCCACATGTTTAAACCATAGTTGTACCCTTTCAACCTCATCCCTTGTCTCTGTTCCCAGTTGTTCCCATGTTCCCAACTGGGAATAGGGAATGGTGGAGAACAAGGATTGGAGTGCAAGGGTGCAATGATGGTTAAGATAGCGTGGATTGTTTTAGTAAAAATTTGAGTTGCTTTATCATTTCTCTCTATCTCTCTTCATGTACACACATATGTACATATATATATATACATATATGTATATAAAACTTGATAATAGAAAGTTTTGTTTCGTTTTTTTTTTTTTTCCCCAAAATTATAGGAATTTTCCCTTGCCTTATTCAATGCTACCACAAACTAACAGCTTTTCTCTTTTGACTACTTATTTATTTTCTTTGTTCCTAATTTTGTTTAATGTTTTTGCCTCTTTGAACCCGACCCACCTCCCTGCTCTGATTTTTTTTTTTTTTTCTTCTTCTCCTTCTTCTTCTTCTGGTGTGTGGGTTTTCTGGGCGTTTCTCTCTAGCTCCCTCCCTCACACTGTGTGTGTGTGTGTCTCTGTTTGTCTCAGGGAGGGAGGTGGCCTTGATTGGGCAGTCAGTCAGAAGGGGTCTTTACGTCACCAACTCATGCACGCGCCTGCAAAAGCTGGCTGGATCCCGTTGGGAGTGCCAGGCTCTCGTCCTTCCCCTGCACTCAGAGTAGTCTGCAGCCTTGCCCTGCCCGGCCTGGTCCCTGCCCTTGCTCCACCCCCTCTTTGACCTAATTTCACTTCATCCTTTTTGTTGGAACGAGCGAGCCAGAGAGAGGCTCTGTCAAATTTACACTCGCTGCTGCAGCCCCACAAGTGTGTGCTTGTCACACATGGTTCCCCAAATAGAGTAGCAGGAAGGAAACAAACCAAGAGCCTAACCCAGATGCAAAATTTCCCTCTTTTAGGATAAACTTGTGGGTGTTGTTTGACCCACCCCACCAATTTTTGTCCATAGTTTTGAATGGTTTGGGGTTCAAGTGACATCTCATGAGAAATCAAAACCAGGTGATGAAAGAATTCTCCCGAAGCATGAAAGAATTCCTTTTTTTGCATCTCAAAATCATGATCTAGGATGCTGCTGTTGGGAACAAACAGGGTTTGCATCTGTCACCACAGGAACTCGTCAACTAAACAAATCAAGAAACAAAAATAAAAATAAAGAAACTTGATAACAACAATCCATTATCTGGTTACTGGTTTATTTGTTTATCTATTTGAAATGACATATGTCCAAAGAAGAGGCTCAGCTCATATACTTGTCTTAGATGACCAAGTCTCACTAAGCACCAATAAAAAAGCTTTGAAAGTTGCCCATATGTTCAAAATAGAGGTAGAAAAGGAGAAAATTGAATTAAATAAGAGGACTACAAGTGGGGATTGCACTGGGATCAAAGACCCATTCTCCCATTAAAAAAAATAAAATAAAATGAAACTGAACTTGAAGGTTGTCAATGCTTCCACAAGGAGTGTTGAACTTGAGAAAATATCTGAAGTACACCTAACAAGTCATTATACTGGAGCCTAGTTGTATGCATTTATTCTCCCTTCACTTTTAATATTTCATGTTTCTAATTTGATTTCCTCTCACTCTCTTCAAATGATTGTTATCTTTCATTTTCTCAATTTGGTACTACCGAGGAAAAAAAATCACAAAATCTGTGGCATAAGAATTACATCACTCAAATTTACAACATGTGTGAGATTTTCTGCAAGCAGAGCAATGATGTTATGAGTAAAGGGGGGGGAGGGGGGGGGCGTCAATAGTTGAATGTGGAACTCTTCATGAGTAGCAAAAAGTGGCAGCAGGTGACAAAAGCTCTTCCCCTCTCTTTTTTCTAACCATTTCCCCTTCAAAGCCTGTCAACTCCCCCCCCCCTCCTCCTCCTCCAACAGGCACTGACACAGCTTGGGTGAGCACACCCAAGACGTGCCTTGATTGATGAATACACAGGACACACTTGATTTGCAGCCATGCATGCAATACTACACTGTTATAATGAAGGAGAAGAGGAGGCAAAGGAATGGGGGGGGGGGTAGAGAATATAACAGAAGAACAAGAGGAGGAATCTAAAGAGACCCCAACAGAAGGGGAAAAAGGTGGAAGAACGGGAGGAATGGGGATTCATTTTAATTTTAATTTTCCTTTCTAAACTATTTTGCAGTTCTGAGGAGGCTTCAAATAGGGGGTGAGCACGCGGCCGTCGGAGGCAGTTTTCCGTGTGGGGCCGCGGCGCCCCCGAACTCCCTTCCATTCTTATCTCTAGCCTCGCGCTGTCTGTCGGATGATCATCCATCATAGGGAGGACGAGAACGAACGAAAAGAGGAGGCATTCGTTTCAGAAGGGGCCAAGGCCAAGTTGGCTGTGTTGTAGAGGGCGGAGACATTTGCCCTTGTGTTGTCCCATGGTGGGAAATGAGGGGCTACGCCTCCACACCGAGTGAACGAGAGCGAGAGACAGCTTTGCCCCGAGAGTGCTAGCCAGCATCAGCCAGCGAGTGAGACACCATCTCTCGCACGCATCAGCATCAGCATCATCATCTGAGAGATCAGGGCACAACACTCACGAGAGAGAGTGAGAGCATGAGAGTGAGGGCTTCATGCACCATGGGACTTTGAGAAAGCGCACCGCGGGCCCTTTAGTTGTATGTATGTTGAGTTGTGAGGGAATTTGTGTGGGGGTCTGTTGTTTGAGGTAGTAGTGTATTTTCTGTGTTTGAGTTTTTCCGTTGTGTCTTCGAAAATGGCCACGAAGTGGCACATCTCCTCTCAGCTATGGACCTCGTGGCCCGCTTCTTCTGCCTCCTCCAAGCGTCTCAAGCTGCGCTGAACCTTCGTTTTTCTCAGTTTGTGTGAGTTTTTGTTTTGTTTTGTTTTTGTTTTGTTTTTGTTTTTTTAGGTTATGTTTATGTCCCCCACCTTTAAATGTTGTCTTCTGCTCTTTTCCCTCCCGCAAGGCGATTATAGTTTGTGTTGATAGCACGTGGTGTTTTCTGGAAGTGTGGAAGGTCGTTTCTGCAGGGGGATGGACTGGGATGGTGAAAAAGCCAGTTTTTGAGAGGACGTGATGTTAGCTCACAATGCGCGATAATGTTGGGTAGTGGAGAGAGTGAGTGGGTTGAGTTCAGAAATCTCTGAATCTGAGTAGCGGAGACGAGTGGTTGGAGTGCTGCATCTTGGCTGTGTCGAGACTTCGACGCGAATGCAGTGTTTGCTCTCGACGTTGCAGTATCGAAACTATCCATCGGCGACCTCGGGTGGTAGAGGTTACAGTAGGCGTAGTACGAGGTAGTGGTGGCAGTGGAACACGCAACGTGAAGTTTCATGGACTGTTGGGTTTACCCTCTTTGAACAGGTGTTGGTTTCTCGACGAGGGCTGACCTTGTACAGACTGTTGATTGTATCAGAGAGTGCATGGAGGGTGTGTGGTTGATTTTGAAGAAAACAAGTACTGTTGGATTCCTTAGGTCCTCCCTTCCTCCCCTTCCGTCAATGATCTTGGAATAGCCGAGAGTTTTGTTTCCAGCTATTTCCAATCTTAGGAAGATATATTCAGGCCCACCACTAGTACACTTTCGAGTTAATCTTTTGCGTTCACTGTAGTTCGTTGGCGAACTCATTGCTGGGTTTATCGCCTCAGAAATATTGGGGATTAGGACAAGAATTCAGTTGCTCAGCCTCACTGACCTTTCCAAAAACCAAGGAAGATCTTTGATTGCTCGTCTTCGACTGGGAATCAGAGTCGTGTGGCTCGAGTAATCTCGGGGACTTTGATCAATAATCACAGTTTGCCTCCTTTGGTCCAGTGATTGTGAAGTCGTCCAGGCCCTTGTGGTTGCAAGTGCTCTTCCGATGTGTGAGAAAAAAATTTCTTAGGCAATTAACGCCGGAACATTTCTGATGGAAACGTAGTTCTCAACACACTTACATCGGTAGCGATCATCTTCTCGCAGAAGTGAGGGTTTCAGGATCGTGTTGGTGGAGGTTGAGCGTATCATCCCCTCTTATATTGCATAATTCGCAGATTCATTTATAGAGGTTTTCCCATCACGAAGGCGGGTTCTGAGAACGACGACAGAAATAAATCTCTTGAACTGCGGGATTAGTCAGTTTTCGACTGCGTTGAAAGTCGAGCAAGTGGTAATGTCTTCTGAAAAACTTTGTGACAGACGCGAAGGTTTGCTACTTCTTTCAGCGAATCCAAAGTTTTGTGCGGGAGTGAAATTCCCGGGTTTGACGAATCGAGTAGTGTCCGATTCTCTTTACCAGGAACTCCCTTCAGAAGAAGGAAAGGGTGTAGCTCTGGATGTGGTGGAGCAGGCAACCATGCCAGACCCTTTTGAATGGACTCTGGGTGTACAACCAGGCTGCCCCAAGGCAACCATGGACCCCGAAATCAAATTATTTGGACAGACCATAGGCGTGGCTTCAAGTCGCGCTGATGCAGGTGCCGATGCAGGAGTTCTCAAACCGACGAGTGCTAGTCCGCCGTGGAACACAGCACGGTCATCCAAGCAGGTGTGTTCTCTCTTCTCTCCTACACTGACTCCTAGTGTGCTTCCTGCTGTGCTCCCCTCGTCTATTCATCGAGTATTTAATTTGGGGATGTTTCAGTTAACATGTATTGAGAATAGGGTACGTTGACGAATAAAACCATGGATGGAACTTTGAAATGTGAGATGCTCACCCAGAAATGTGCTGCCAGCATGTTTATGATGTCATTTATTTATGTTTCCTTGGCTTTTATCTTCGTTTTAGGGTTGAGAAGTAGTTTTGCTTCTAATTCTGAGCATTACAGTTTGTGTGGAACTGTTTTGTGGGTCTACTCATTGCGCTCGCTTTGTGCTGTCATGTGTCTCTTGTGCGTGGATGGTCACCTTCAATACCTTATCTTGCGTACATCAGTGTGTGCTAATGATTGTCCCTTTTTTCTTTGGATCTGATCTTTCAGGATGGAGGGGACAGTTCGCTCTTCAGGAATGAGAACGAAGGTGGAGTGGTCGAGAAACTCAGAACTGCCAGAAGTAGCAGCAGGGATGAGTTCTTGCAGCCTCCAAAGTCCACTGAACTGGTTCCAGGGAACAGGTCTACTATGATATTCTCTCTCGGTGCTAGTGACAGTGAAGGGGCTCATTCAGATGAGCTCAAGGATCAGGGTGAAGGTGACCATAGTCAGTACCTGGGTGATGACAAGCACCTCCAAAAACCCGACAAAGTGGTGTCTTGCCCTCGATGCGATAGTTTAGAAACTAAATTCTGTTACTACAATAATTACAACATCAACCAGCCGCGTCACTTCTGTAAAAATTGCCAGCGGTACTGGACTGCAGGAGGAACTTTGCGGAACGTGCCAGTAGGGGCCGGGAGGAGGAAGAACAAACACGGTGTGGTGCAGCGCGACTGTACCGAGGCCTCTGTTAACTGCTCGATTCAAAGTGATTCCAGCGACTCTGCTTCCCAGTTATTGCCCTGCGCTCTTGGATCGCCAACGAGCCAGAAAGCAGGGTCATCGCTCAAGCATTCCCAGCCCAAAAGGTTGGTTGGACAGGGCTCTCCCATGCGGAGCCCTAGGAGCACGATGTCGTTCAGTCAAGACAGTGGAATTACTCTGCCACCTCCATTCTCGCTACATCGGAACGGCCCAATTCCTTATCAGTCGTTTTCATCTAGCCAAGGATTCTTGACCTCAGGTAATATTATGCAGTTCTTCTCAGTTAATTATGTTTTAGTCAAGGCATCTAGAAGACCTCGTTTTTTTTTGCAGTATTGTGGTGGGAGGTTTCATGGAAGGTTTTGTAAGAGGTGTTGCACGCCATCTCGAATTGCGAAGAAATGGGCGCTGACTGTCGGTGACCGATGGGTGCAGGTTCTGAAGTGTATACGGTGGGAAGTTCCGATTCCTCATCCGTGACGATAGGGCAGAGGATTGCACGCTTTCCTTCAGTAAATGGAATGGACAAAGACTGCAGTAGATCCTCACTCAGCGGGCAACTGCAAGCTACCCATAGCTTGCGGTCGATGACAACTGTTTATAATCCATCGTTGCAGCTGGAGTCGTCTTCCGGGATGCACAGATCCGTCCTCCCACCTGGCAGCAGTGGCTGGCCTGGCAACGGTGCACCTGCTGGGTTGCACAGTGGGGAATGGCCTCATAATCATCTTGAATTGGACGGGAAACACTCCACTCAAGTTGTCGGGACTACTTATAATACTGCCACGACTTTGCCCGCAACCTCATCTTGGAGTGCCGCTAATGCGCAGTGGGGAGCAACACAATGGGGTGCTGGTGTTAGTCATTTGTCAAACCCAGCTCAAATGCCTACTCAAGTGTGGCCTGGTGGGCAACAACCCATGGCGCCAAATGCTACCCCATTGGACCACTCTGTTGTTGCAGTATTATCAACTCTCGGGAAGCGTGGATTGTCTGACGAGGGCAGTTCCATGTGGCCTTCAAAAGCTCTACGACCGCACGGCTCGAGAAGCTTAAATTCGTGGTCGATGTCTGGGAAGGATCAGTCCGAAGTGAACAGCAGCGGGAACGCCTTGAATCTGTTCCGCCCAAAGCTAGAGATTGGTGTTGCTTGTGAAACAAAAGATAGTTTCGTGTCCAGGCACTTCACAACTGTGCCACCAGCACGGCCAGTGCCGTTTCAAGTAACGATTTGAGTGAGCATTGTCACGTGCACTGGTGATTAAATTCCTTGTGCAGTCTTGATGCCCTTCAAATTCTCCTATAAGGCTATACCGAAAATGTATTGTTGGCGACCTCTGACACTGTTATGCGAGGAGAAAGGGGCATGGGGTGATCATGAATTCTGCACGTTTTTCAGGAACCTCGATGCGCTCGCGTGCTAGGCCACCTTCAGTTTTGCCTGCCTCAATTTTGTTGCAAGAGTTCCAGCTTGTCGTTTTCCATAAATACCGTAGTGACTCAAGGGATGGAGTGTGAAATCGCCAACATTTTGTCACCCTCTTCTCCTGAAATATCTACCGGATTATTACCTACAGTGTCCTTTTTGGTAATGCTGGCTAAAGGCTGCATTTTTCTAAATCGACAGTAGCTTTTCACGTATGTAGCCGACCTCCAAAACTTCAGACCTGTATGACCTGCTGATATAGAACAGCTGCTTTCTTTTTCTTTTCTTCCATGTTTTGATAATACGTATTTTCATGTAATTTTGAGGTCAAAGCTGATGCTTAGTCTTTGGTAGCGGGGTGTTTGTCAAACCCTTTATCTGCATTAGGAAACGCAGACTACACGTTTCTACCCAAACAGTATAGAAACGTTTTGGAGGACACTTTTGGCAATGCCCTTGTGCAACTTAATCATATATAGTATTTTATGGCTATTTTAACGCGTCGATTCCATTCTATGCTTTCTACCCCCCATTCTTCGGTTCTGAAAAATTGGTTATAACCGGGTTTGTGGATTTTAGAACCAATGCCCATTAGTTATAATTCGGGTGGACGAGCCCTGCCGTGCTCACAGTTTCTTCTGCACACCAAGTTAGAGAATATTGCAATAGTTCTTTTGATTCTATTAATGTGGATAAGCACAACTTGCGTGAACAATATGAACGAAGTTTAATTATCATGTTCCACACGCTTTTGTGTAGCCGTCAAGGGTATACACTGTGACGGTAGCCGTTTGCAAACATTTGGTTTTATATCTTCGATGAGTAATGTAGATTATGGATATAATCGATTCCTTTTCCTGAGTCTTGATACTGCATTATCTGCACTCTATCAACTTTGTTATTCCAAGTGAATGGACTTTTCTGTTTCCAATCTTCATCTTCTTTTTTATTTTTTACTATTCTAATAATCTCATTATTATTGTGATGCTCAGTGCAGTATATTTTTACATGGAAAGGCCAATGTTGTAGTAGTTATACAGTCCACTTCTTTATTAGATGTGTAAAACGTGTAAATACTAAAAACAAGTAAGTTTAAGAAAAACCAATTTAATTGTATTAAGTAAAGGATGATAAAATTCTGACCACAAAGTTTGAGATAAAATGGTAGTGGTTAATATGCATGGAAATTATACTATCTGATATTTATTAATCAAAAGATCAACCAAATGTGGTTGAAGAGATTAATTTATAGCAAAATTTAGAAGAAGAAATGTTGAGACGTTCTTACATTGAACTGCAAGTAGCAAGTATTCTATCTGCTTGGAATACTTGCAAAGTTTCTCAATTGTGGGGTGGATTAAGATGTTCACAAATCTGTACAAAAATATGCACCAATCTCTGTGTTTGGTTTTGATTTAATAGTGAAGAAAATACAACTTCCAAAAACAATACTTGGAATGTCAATCGTACATGATGCATTAGTGGCTTTTATTATCAACTTTTATAATTTCATCCAGTATCATTTAATTGCAAGAATCAAACAAAGTATTACAAAAAATAATCACAATTTTTTAATTTTTCATATTAATAATAAATAGAGAGTTGGATCAAATTTACACATTAAAGTAAGAAATTAAAAAAATAATAATTACAAATTATAGAATTTTGTTATAATAATTTTTCTTAGGTTTAGATTGATAAATATTAAATTCACTACTTTGACTTGGATACTAGATCTAGTTTGGTCACTCATTGTAAATCATAAATTTAGTGTTGGGTCTTAACTGTGGAACAAAATTGGAAAAGTATGGACACAAATGAATAAATTCTTCCAACTCAATCTTCTTACTATTTCTTTTTTTAACATGTAGAATTGCTTTCATAGTAGAATCCAAATTTTTGTCTTATTGACATACATCTACAATCCCATTGAGCTATGAATCTTCACTCAAATAGTCTTTATTATGTCAAAAATCTCTTCAAAGGACTCATGACTCCTCTTACTATAAAAGAAACAACATCCACATACTATATTTCATTATATTATAGCTCTATTTGAAAATTTTTAAAATCTAAATCTAAAAAAAATGTATCTCCAAGAACTTATTAGAAATGTTCCAAAAACAAAATTAACATGAAAATGAGCTTTTGGAGTTAATTTCTTCTATGATCAAGTCAATGAATTGACCTTCAATCCCTTATCATATTTTTAGGTTACTAGAGAGAAACTCTACCCAATTTGGTAAAAGGTTGATTTAGAATAATATCTCTATTATTAACTTGGTGGCACACAAATAGACTTTTGTCTTTGGTTAAGACTACTTATTTTACTGAAAAGATACTTGATTGAAATCTTATTCATATAAAGAAATTATATTTATTTGGCTTATACGACACAAAAGTGTAGAGTTAATACTTAATGAAATAAATCAACTATGATATTGGTATTAATTATTTTATGTATCAACCTCAAACATACAAATATATTCTTTTTTAATTTTAAGAATGTCATCAAACTTGATAAATATAGAATTGGACCACCTTTCTTCAAGTTTTATTAAGATCCTTAAAAATTCTTTATTTCACAACAAGCAATTTTTGTCGAAACTATTTCTTTTAGATTCAACTACTTCTATAAGATTTGATCCTTATTAAAGAATCTTTATCTACAAACTAATTGAATTCAACACAAAAAATTTGTCTTCAATAATGAAGTATATTATATACTCTAAAACAAAAGCTTGGTATGAAAACACCTTATCAAACATAAAGAAATTTGTTAAAAATTCGTCAAAAATAAATTACTAAAATATCCACAATATAAGTCTTTTCTCTTCAAGAAATGGAATAATTGATAGATGGCAAAAAACATACCAAGTTCTAGAAATGAAAAAATAATAGTATAAAATTCTAAAATACATAACTATGGTGTGGTCATACATAATAGTATAGATAAACTAACTTTAAAATCTATTCAATGTTCTTAGTACTCTTAAATTTGCTTTCAAGTATAAAGAATTAAATAACCTCTTGTAATTTTTTTATTCTATTCATTTATTGGATTAATCTTGTTTTTTCTATAAAAAAAATATTATCATTACATAATTATTTAAAATTATTTAAATAAATAATTATGAAAATGACTAATTTAATTTCTAAAGTAATTAAAATATATAATTAAAACTATAATTAATTATTTTAAATTATACATATTTTTATATTTTTACACAAAAATATAGTTAAATTTTGATTTAAAATAAAAATTATAATAAGTAAATTTTAGAAAATACCATTTTATATTTTAAACTATTAATCTAACTTAAACTTTAAAAATAAATACATTTTATTTATATGATGTAAAAATATAATATTTTTTAATATATTGAGTATTCTAATTTATAATTTATATTTATTCTTTTATTCTTTTAGCATGTACTTTTAAAAATAAAATAAAATATTTTGAATATTTTTCTAATTCTATTATATCTAGTAATTTTATAATAATTTTTTAAAGACCTAGATTATATTTATTAGAATATTAATTTATATTTTACATTATATTTGTTAAAATATATAAAATTTTAATCACCATTTAAAAAAATATATATATAAAATTAATCTTATTGATTATTCTATTCTTTAAATTTCAATAAAATTTTAAGATATAAAATATATTATATATATATATATATTAGTATTGAATTAAAATCTTTAAAATATATTATATATAAATATATACTTATATATTTTTAAAGATTTTTTTTTATTATTTTAATATATAAATAAATTTATATGATTTCAATTATTTAATTAAATTATAAATAATTAATTTATATAAATTAAAAAAATCCATTAAAAATTATTCTAAAATAATAAATTTATTTATATATTAAAATATTAAATATTATATAAAAAATTATATATATATTAAATAATTTTATTTGTAAATTTATGATTGGTTATGCTAGTAGTCTAATTGTGAAACATGACATGAATTATTATGAAGGACATGAATCTCAAAGAATTAAAAGATCAATTTATTCTTATGTGTCTTTAAAAGACTATGAAATCACTCAAATTGATATAACATTAAATTAGAATGTCTATTGCCAAAGACAAAAATACTAGAAAGTCTTGAAACAAGACTAAAGACTAGAAAGGTATTGGCAAGAGTAAAAAAAAACTTTACTTTTGCTTCTTTATATAGTATCTAACAAGGAGCTATGTAGTGATGTTTTATAAGACCTCTAACATGTCTCCAACTTATGAGACACATGTCTAACTTACAAGGCAATTTTTTTATATGTGCGTTAAATAATTAACTTATTCCATAAATTACTAATACTTGCGATACATGGCTAACTTGTTGGCCAAGTTTCTAACCTATCAATTAACTACAAACACATATAAAGTGAAATACATGTCTATGAAGCTTCTAAAAAGCTTTTCTCCAAGATAATATCTAATCTACATATATTTACATTCTACCTTATATTTCTTATCTAGATAAATATATAAGTCTATGATATTATCTCCTTTTATAGAGAAAAGTTCTATAAGAAGTACTAATGAAATGTTGAAGAATTCCAAAATATGGCAAAGTGTGTTTTTTACATACTTTGATTTTTATTTCTTTCAAAGTTAATTAAGAGGTCTTCTTAGCCATCAATAATGTTTTATTCCAAGGCAAAAAGGTCACCTTGTTATTTGATCATTGTTGAGGTCTTTGTAACTTCTTCAAATAATACATTTGGAATACTATTGATGGTGGTTATTATCTCTAGTAATATCACCAAACATCCATATGCAACATGTATTGATAGCTTGCGGAACAAGCTAATTATATAGCGGCCATATACAAAACTTGCCTTAGAAGTCAAGATACATGTCATCTAAAGTCAATACATTTTTGGAGGTCCTATAGAATGTCGCTATATAGATCCTATGCAGATAGTATATATAGAGGCAAGAAAGAAGCCTTCTTCACTCTTGTCAATTCCTTTCTTACTTCTAATCTAGATTCAAAAGTCTCTAATTTCTTTATCTTTTGGTAATAGCCATTGTAGTTTCCTTTTAATATACATATTATTTTATTTTTATTTTGTCACTTTTCTTTTGATTAAGTTTTTCTATATTTATGCATCTTATTCTAATTCATGTCCTTGACAGATCAACAAGAGTATACTTACAATATTAGAATTTTGTCTTTTTTTGATTGAGAGTGGATTATTCATTCTCTTGATAAGACATGTGCATATTAGAAGTTACAAATTATCCTCTTTAAAATTAATATTATTTTTAGTATCTTTTTTGTTATCAAGTCCTCTCTTTTGCTTATCTTAAGCAATATTAGATATATTTTTTTTAAGTGTCATCATAGCAGAGCTTCTTGAAATGAAGAGTATAATGACACAAATGTAAGAGCAATTGAAGGAGTTAATGCTTACAATACATTAACTCAGTTTATCACCACTTGAAGCAACAAAAATGATAAGATA